CACACACACACACACACACACACACACACACACACACACACACAAGGTCTAATTACCGGACTTTGTGCTGGTGCAGCCTACACGTGAGACGGAAGCTGCTCCCCGACCAGAGGCGCGCGTGCGCTCTGACAAAACACCGCCGACAGCTTCGCAAAGTGGCAGCTCGGGCTTCCACCGACACCAGAGTCACAGCTCCGCTGGAGGACACACACTCTTCTTCTCCACCGTCTCCCCCAGCCTCCTTCAGTGTGCGTGAGAGAGAGAGCGAGCGTGTGTATGTGCGCGCGCGGGGCCACAGGAACAGCAAACATCCCTCCACTCAGAGAAAAGAAGCTCAGAAGCGGCTCGGCAGCGGCGGAGAAGTGATGGATGAAAGAATCCCGCACTTACAGGACAGACCTTTCATGGAGCACGCGGACTTCTTGGGGTAAGAGTGGCTTTGGTGCAACTCCTGATCCGTGCTGACAGCCGGGTTCATCATCTCTGTCTCTTGTTTGTCTTCAGGGTGGATTTCCCTCCGCTCTACATGTGCAAATCTAAAAGAGGGATAAAGCGGGAGGACGGTGGGAAGGTGCGCGCAGTTAATGTTTGCCTTTTTTAAAGCTTTAATCCTGTAAGAATCTAACTTTTTTTCCTCCAAACTTTCGGGCCACATCTGCTTAAATGCTTGTATTTTGGCGCCACCAGGACGCATACAAGTTACCGCACCGGCTGATCGAGAAGAAGAGGAGAGACAGGATTAATGAATGTATCGGACAGCTGAAGGATTTGTTACCCGAACATCTGAAGCTGTCGGTGAGATCTCATTAACAAGTTTTTGTTTTTGATCAGATAATAAGTTGAAACAGCAGAAGCAGACAGATAAATCTGCTTTCCCCCTCCCCACCACAGACGCTGGGACACTTGGAGAAAGCTGTAGTCCTGGAGTTAACACTGAAACATTTAAACGCGCTGACTGCTGTCACTGAGCAGCAGCACCAGAAGATCGTTGCTTTGCAGAACGGTGAGATCTGGTTGTGTTTAAATTAACTTTTCCCACTTTAAGCTAAGAGCATTTAGGCAAGCATTAATGATTGTCTGGCAGCCCACTTCTCTCTTTCTGTTTTCACAGGAGACCGCTCCATAAAATCCCCGGTGCACGCGGACCTGGACGCGTTCCACTCCGGGTTCCAGACTTGCGCCAAAGAGGTTCTGCAGTACCTGAGCCAGTTCGAGAACTGGGCCGCGAGGGAGCAGAGGTGCGCGCAGCTGATCAGCCACCTTCACAAGGCGCTGGCGCAGTTTCAGCCCGACGCAAAGCCGCCGCCGCCGCAGCACCAGCTGCCKGCCACCGGGGACGCGCAGGACGCGCAGAAGCCCGACGGCCAGGCCAACTGCGTCCCGGTGATCCAGAGGACCCAGGGCGGGGAGCTGAACGAGAACGACACGGACACGGACAGCGGGTACGGCGGGGAGGCTGAGAAGAGCGACGGGAAGGAGAGGGAGTGCGCGCGTAAAGCTCCAGGAGGGAAAGCGGTGAAGGTGAAGCAAGAGTTTGGAGACGACAGGGCGGCCAAAAAGACTAAGACGTGCTGGTCTGGGAGCGGAGGCGRGGAGCAAACCAGACCAGATGTGGCGTTTATGAACTCTCTGATGGGAATAAACTCTGTTGGACAGCAGACACCAATCTGCATGCCTTTCTACTTCATCAACCCATCAGCCGCGGCGCCTTACATGCCTTTTTTCGACAAAAACAACCTGGAGAAGTACATGTACCCCGCGGCGGCGGCGGCGGCGGCGGCTCTGGCCTCCCCTTTCCCCTGGCTGTACCCGGCGCACGCGTCCGCGGCGGCCACTGCCGCCTTCCCCGGCCTGTCGGCGCACCTCGGAGCCTCGCCTCTGTCCAAGGACTCATGCGCGCCGCGCGAGGCTGACATGGGCTCCGCCGAGGAGCTCGAGGAAAGTCCGGTCAGTGACGACGGGGAGGGTGACGTAGGCGACGCGTCCCCGGAGATGAAGAATAGTCCACATGATGAGCAGTTTACCGCCTGTCAGACCAGCTAATCTGTTTACATCCAAACTAAAGGAGCTCAACAGGATAACAAAAAAGTGTCTCATGTATAAACATTGTGACTGCGCGTGCCTTTTGCACAAACAATCTGAATGACCAATGATTGACACTTCACAGCTGTGTTGCGCTGGAGTGAGTTTTTTTTTTTTAAAAAAATCCTCTTTGATAAAATGTTTTGACATGGCAGCATTGGTGCCAAAAAGAAAAAAAAAATAAATAAAACGCGTCACAACAGCAGTGCAGTAATCCTCATTAACTGACCTCTGTCTGTAAGAAGCTGGCAGATTGACTGTAAATATTAGCCCGGAGGTAGTCTCGTTCATTAAACTGGTCTAAATGGACCCAGAGGAGAATCCTTATTACCTCACTCCAACTGTGCATGGAGGCAGGCTGGTTCAGGGGGACCCATTAGTGCCCCTGAAAAGAGCTGATTGGTCCCCTCTTCCCAACATGCACACCATGAATAAAAAGTTAACAATCATTTATCATGAGGTGTAATGTCTTTTTACCCAGTTACCTTTTGTTTGTGTTGAGAGAAGACCTTCGCAACTGGAAGGGTTTCTCTGATGGAACCATTTCTGGAACCTCCAGGAAACATTGTAGGATAGCACCTTAGACATCTTTGATATTGAATGTACCTGTATTTCCCCCAGCTGTTAAGTTTTTATAGGATGAGGCGTTAAGTGCACTTTTTTCTGCCTTTTCCCCTCCCCTCCCCCCAGTTGATCATCATGAAAGTTAATCACTGTAGTTACAGGTATCCTGATACTCAGTTTCATCCAGAAGATCTGAGTTGCTTTGTGATGATTTCATGCAGCAGAATCCTCCCAGTTTTACAACAAAAATGTTTCTGAACCCCATTTTCACATCCGACATGACAAACTGACAAAACTGGGAAAGAAATATTGTTTCATTAACGCCACGTGAAGAACTTTATTTTGGCCTCTCTCTCTCTCTCTCTTTATTTTATTTTTTTTTGTAACGGATTACCTCCAAAATGTAACTTTTTAAACTTTCACACATAAACAGGCACAAACTTTATGGTATTTGACAAACATTAAAATGCTTTTTGTAGTTTAAGTCAGCTGGTTTTTTGCCTCACATCTCTTATCAAAGTGGCATGTATGTTTGTACATAGTTTTTTTTCCTCTTTTTTTCAAAAAAATACCATTAAGTAAACATGTCTGTCTGTGTTGTAGATGTCTATGAAGTTTTCTCTCTTTCTCTCTTTTTAAAGATTTAACTGAGCATCTGTTGCACCTTTCGTTGATGCTTTATGCTGTTCTAAATTATTGCTGATGAGTTGTAAAATAAATATCAAAAACTCAACTTTGCAGGCGTTGTTCTTGCTTTACAAGTCGAAGAAGCAGAGACTCCAGAGAACAAAATGCTGAAGGTTGGGTGGATGGGAGGTGTTTTACCAATCAGCTGACAGAAGAATGAACAATAAGTTTTTAACAAAAATCATGTGATAAAAGGCCGATGAAGAAAGGTTACAGTCAGACGAGTGGAAAACAAAAGGATTTCCTTCCAACTTGTCATGAGATTTGAACAGGATTAAAGTCAGACATTTTTATTTTGATTATATTTTGCCTTGTCCAGGGTGCACTCACCTCTCACACAGCAGGAGATAAACACCAGCTCACCAAGAACTAAAGGGAAAGTGGATAAAGAAAAAGATCTTTATTAGAATACAAACATACTATATATATATA